GTTGTAATAAGTTTCTAAAGCATAGGTGGCGATAGGAAATATCAATGCTCGAACAAGGCGTAATTTTGTATTTTTTGTGATGCCAGTGTGCTTCCAAATTTTTGTGAGTTTAGCTGTTGCCGATCTGGCCATTGTGATACGTCGACGGATCTCGTCTTCGCATCCTCCACTGTTAGTAATAAACAAGCCTAAGTAATTAAATTGCCTGACTACTTCGTAACCTGCCATGTTTTTTATTTCTGCTTGGTTATTTCTGATTCTATCGATCATCATCACTTTGCTTTTCTGCATATTTATTTTCAAACTATATTCCGTACTCCCGTGCCTAGCCTATTCATAATTTGTTTCAGTTCTTAAACGCAGGTTTTTAATTTTTCTTCCTCCTATCGTTGCTTCACCTTACCTTGCCACTTTCCTCAACAACTTGACGCATATGTTCACTATACACATTGAATAGAATAGAACATATTATGCATCCCTGTCGAACTCCAGATTTTAATTTGATGTTTTTCGAAATCACATTATTAACTCTTACATTAGCAGGTATTATTTACCTATAGTTTTTGTAATAAATAGATAAGATGTTCTGCAGTACTCATTTCACTAAGTGTATGCCACATTTTATTACATTTTACGGTATCGAAGGCTTTGGAATAGTCAACAAAGCAATCTCGAGATTTTTCGATAATTTGACGAATATTAAGAATATGTTCTCTTGTTTCTCTACCTGGGACGAATCCGCATTGTTCTTGGGGAATTTGTGGTAAGGGAATTAATTTAAGACTTTCATTAATGATGGTTATAAGTTCTTTGCTCGTGTGTGATATCAATGCTACTGTGCAGTAATTATTGCTATCAGCTGTCGGTATTTTTTTTTATATATGGGAATAAACGCAAGTTTACCCCAGTTATTTGTCTACTTTTCGGTATTCCAAATCTCATTGCAAATTCTAAGCATTACTTCCGTCCCTAATTCTCCCATTTCTTTTAGTGTTTCAGCTGCTATTCCATCTTCTCCCTCTGCTTTTCTGGATTTTAGCTTTTTAAATGCCACCTCAATTTCTGATTTTAGTATTTGAGGTTCTTTTTCATAACTTATTTTCTCTGTATTATTGTCTCGGTCGTTGTTAGAAAATAGTATCTCGCAATATAGTTTCCACACCTCTGCGAGGCCGTCTGGGTTTTTTATATTTCCACTATTATCTTTGATGATCTTTGCGGTTTGAATTCTCTCGCTAGATACTTGACTTTTGAGAAAAGTTCTCTAGGTTCTTGACGGTCAGCATGTTCCTCTAGTTGTACACATACGTTTTTAATATAATTATTTTTGCCCCTTCTGCATAAGTGTTTTATAGTTGTATTTATGGTAAGAAGGGTAAGAATATCAAAGTATTGAGATATTTTAGTCCAGGTGGATCCCTGACGTATTTCGCCCTTTGTAAAATACCACCACTCTAGTCATCGACGGAGAATGACATAAACAGTTAGAGAAAGACAAACTAGAAACCAAAAATCACCCGATGGCCGACGCCAATACATACTTTAGCCCAGGTAGATCCCCGACGTAATTCGCAATTCGTGAAATTTCACCACTGTAGTTTCCGAAGGGAAATCACATAAACAGAATTTAGTGATTTCACGAATAGTATGATTTCCAAGTAGATAATATAATATGTGCAATTTTGGAAAGTTTATTAAATAAAACTGATTTTTTAAAATATACTTACAAATATTAAGAATTCCCTAGATTTTTCATAGAATTGAATAAAAATCCCTTTTTCCCTAAGCTGGGTCAAAATTCCCTAGGTATAGGGAAAATTCCCTAGGTCTGGTAACGCTGCACAAGATATGCTCACTTGCTTTTCTAATTTTAATTGACTTTGCGCATGTCGTCATAGCGAGACAAAGCCAGGGGACTTGTATAATGATACTATACAGAAGTTCAGCAGGATATTTTTAGTGTTCCGTATAACGTCTCTCTAGCCCACTGTGTTGCCCAAGATCTTGAGATGACTAAAGGAATCTCATCCGTATTTTATAAGAAGTTTGGTCGTTTGGACGAGTTAAAAAATCAACAGCCTAAAGTTGGAAGAGATTATAATAATTATATTATAATTCTCAGATGGTCCTCGATCTTTGCTGTATACGGTGACCAGGAAGTCGTATACAAACAGGGCAAGCTATGAGGATTTATGGCGTGCTCTAACTATATCTATCTCTATAAGATTGTGCCTTTCAAAGACAGTATACTGTTATTTCTTTCTGAGAGTTGCAGAACTGAAGAGTCCTGTAGATTCCGCCATCCTAGCCTACATCTATAGTTGCTGATCGGGACGCTCAGATCTAAGAGGGGAGCAGTGTAACGAAATAGCCCATCTCCGATGCGAAGTACGTGTCACAATTCTTAGAAGGATAAATTTAGAATGTGTTGGCACTTCAATAGCGCAGTCTTCGATGAGCTTTCAAAGAGAAGGATAGAGGTGGACTATTCCAGAATGTTCTAGTACATAATAACTTGTATATATATATATATATATATATATATATATATATATATATATATATATATATATATATATATATATATATAAACATATATAAACATAAAGTTCCAAATAATTATATATTGATTAGTTTAGATGTTGTGTCACTGTTTACAAACTTACCACTAGATGCTATTCTTAACAGCATTAAAAATAACTGGAACAACATCTCTCCACATACTAAGATCAGTTTAGATGATTTCATAAGAATGTTAACATTTATATTTGATTCTAACATCTTTTTATTCAATGGTAATTTTTTTAAACAAATTTTTGGCTCTCCAATGGGCAGCAAAATATCCCCCATACTATGTAATTTTGTTTTGGATGAACTTATTACAACGTGTAAAGAAAACATACCTTTTCACATACCATTTATTAAACGTTATGTAGATGATTTGATTTTATCGGTCCCTGAAAACAAGGTAACTGATGTTTTAAACATTTTTAACGCCCAATGTGAACACCTAAAGTTTACGGTTGAGAGAGAGGCTGATCAACATCCATCTAAGATGAAAACAAATTTGGTTTTGGCTTTAAAAACTAGGGTTATCAACTTGTCACAAATAGAATTCAGGGACAAGGGACTAAAAAAGTTGAGATCTATACTACAAGAGAATTCTTATCCCATAGGGCTGTTAAATAAATTCATTTTCTGTTCTACTTTTCCTTCACAAGTTTCTGTCAACCAAAATTTTCATAACAATGAGATCCGACAATTGACATTGACACATAACGCATCAATATTACCATCTAAAATAACTTATGGTTGCCTATCCTACATTCCATTTCTGACACCTAAGCTAATGAACATCTTTAAAAATGTTAGTGGCTTAAAAATTACAACTAAAAATGTGAAAACAGTATCGAAGCTTTACACAAAAACAAAAAATCCTTTCACAATACAAGAGTCATCGAATGTTGTTTATTCTACACCGTGTACTAATTGTAATAAAATTTACATAGGAGAATCATCACGTAATTTTCACAACAGGGTGATATCACATCGCAGTGATATAAAAACCAAAAAAATCAATGCATGTGCATTGACAGAACATGCACTAACTCTAAAACATGAGTTCAATTTCGATGATTCCTGTATTTTGGCAAAAGAAAAGAACCATTCAAAACGTGTTTTTTTGGAAATGTGTTTCATAAAATCTAGCACATCTTGCATCAATAAAAAGTCCGATATAGACAAATTAAGTAACATTTATTGTTATTTACTAGAAAAACATCAAAAATAAAATAAATATTTACCTGTACAAAAATTACACCTCTGTATAATATGTTGCATACCATTAAGACAGGTTAAAATAGGATAGACACCTAAGGAGAGGCTCTAATATAGTATTTCTTGTAAAGAAAGATAACATCAATTTACACCTAATTACATATTAATTACACTGTTTTTTCTTTCCATTCTCTGTATGAGTTAATATACACCAGTAAAACATGCCATCAATCAAGTTTTACTATTTTTACAACAAATTTTAAAAATTTTATGATGTATATGTCCATAATTGTATATTTTAATGTGTTGTATAAATGTTGAGTGTTCAATGCTTACAAAAATAATCTCAACGACTAGTAAGTTACACTGAAGAATTGTGATACTTTTTAAATATTTACATAATTGTCTTTTACAGTGTCTTGAAAAAGGAATAAAATCATTCCGAAAGCTCGACAAAAAGTCAAAAGAGTGTTTTTTATTTAACATCCCGGCCAATATTCTGACTGCAACCCTAATAAACTGTGTTGTTTATATATATATATATATATATATATATATATATATATATATATATATATATATATATATATATATATATGTTCGGAAAGATTTCCGCGGTTAGTACAATAAAACCTAGAGCAAAGATTAATATTATTACTAAAATTAATATCAAACTCACCAGTCTTCCGGGTTGAACCGCGTCGTTGTCCATTTTGCCAAGCTTTCGGCATCTTCTCTGATGCCTTCCTCAGGGCTTCCGAGCCCCCAGACACTACTACACTGTTCACTATTCACGGCACTGTCACTACTGTTAGTAGTGACAGTGCCGTGAATAGTGTAGTAGTGTCTGGGGGCTCGGGAGACTGAGACCTCGGAAGCCCTGAGGAAGGCATCAGAGAGGATGCCGAAAGCTTGGCAAAATGGACAACGACGCGGTTCAACCTGGAAGACTGGTGAGTTTGATATTAATTTTAGTAATAATATTAATCTTAGCTCTAGGTTTTATATATATATATATATATATATATATATATATATATATATATATATATATATATATATATTATATATATATACGTAACGATGATTGAAGTTTTCAGTTGATAAAATATTTTCGTGCTGTAAATTTATAAATAAATATATTTATATAAATTCGAACCGCTCGTTTTATTTAATCTCGCTACAGTATTAATACAATGAAACGCTTTTTTAATATTTATTTTAAAACATTAACAATGTATAAAAATATGTATATACAAATTAAACTTTATTCTTTATATGTACTCCCGCATCTTGGTCTACAATCCAGTAGATTGCCCCTGAATGTGGTTTTACTCTGGCAGCTGGAAGTTGTTCATCCTGATCGACTAAAACTTTCTGCAATATAGAAAAAAAAAAATTACAAAACTATATTAGCAGCATTAATTGATAAATATCTGCTTCCTCTACCTGTTACACACATACGACATAGCTGAACTAGAAAATGATTATAGTATCCTTTGCAGATGATACCGCTATAGAGAAGGCTAGGGGTGCATTGAACAACATGGCCAAACTCTTTAAAAGCCACAACCTTAATCTGGATGTAAAAGTAAGGCACCTACGATGTTATATCGTCTCGATATTATACTACGGAGTTGAATCCTGGACACTCACTGAAGCGATGGAGAAACAACTTAAGGCCTTCGAGATGTGGCTATACAGAAGAATCCTAAGGATATCGTGGACTGACAAGATAACCAACGAGACTGTACTACGAAGAATGAAGAAAGAAAAATAATTATAGCCAGAATGATCGCCAATATTCGAAACGAATAGGCACCAAAAGAAGAAGAATGTAGTGTTTTGTCTACCCATCTATGAACAGTTGTTTGAACATATTGAGTCTGTTGTTTCGAACCTTTTTTTTAGTCCTTCTTAGTGGTAGAGGTGTAAACTTTTGAGAGACAGGTTATAGATTCATCGTGCTGAGTGCAAGTGAGATTTACTATCAGCTGATAAATGAAAACGGTTGTTTCTTAAAATTTTTCGCCACTACCTGACGTCATGGTTTTAAGATCCCTCTCTACGTCGTCTATCCATCTTTTACGGGGCCTTTCTCTTGTTCTGTTTCCTTGGGGCTTCCCTTTCTCTGAAATACTTTTACAGGTGAATTATCCGGCATTATTTCTAGGTGACCAAGCCAGTTTCGTCTTTGTGACTTTACAAACCTAACAATATCTGCGCTCTGCAATAGTTCATCCAGCTTGTGCTTCATTTATATAGGCATCCTCCAATTGCTTCCACGCTTCCTTATCTTTTGCAATTCTCGTCCACTGCTTTCCAGCTACAGCTGTTATATTGTCTTTTTATCTCTTTTTTTTGCGTCTTCCCACGCTTCTTTTTGTTTCTTGAGGTCTCCAGAATGTCACTTTATGAGACCATTTGTTGGTGTCTTGTCTTGCTACATGTGCTACCCATTGCCATCTCAATGTCGCTATTTTTCCCATGATGTCGGTTACTTTAGTTCTTCGACGTATTTCGGTGTTAGGAATTTTGTCTCTGAGGCTTATATTTAACATGGCCCTCTCCATGGCCCGTTGAGTTACTCTTAATTGTTCTACAATTTTTCTTGTTATTGCCATAGTTTCCAATCCATAAGTTGCAACTGGTAGTATACAAGTGTCACAGGTTTTTCGTTTTAAGTGTATTGGGATTTTTCTGTCTTTTAAAATGAAGCTCAACTTACTAAAAGCAGCCCATGACAATTGTGTCCTTTTAATTTCTAGGCTTTGATTTTCCTTTTCGTTTTTAATTGCATGTCCTGTATATTTCTTTTTCGTTTTTAAATTGCATGTACTGTATATATATATATATATATATATATATATATATATATATATATATATATATATATATATATTGTTCTACCTTTTTCTATATTGATGTTATCTATCGTGATGTTTTCTAGTCTGTTGCTTAATAAATTTGTTTTGTCGAGATTCATTTTTAATCCTATTTTATTCGATTTGTGATTTAAATCTTGTAGTATTGATTTTAGTTCATGGATATCTATGCTTATTAGTACTATGTCGTCTGCGAAACGCAAATGGTTAAGATATACTCCATCTATTTTTAATCCCTTTTCGGCCCAATTTAGATTTTTGAAGACTTTTTTTTTTAGAGTAGAGTAAATTTTTATTTGCATAAATTTTTAAACATAATTGAGCAAATAATGTCACATTATTAATTACAGATTAATATATATATATATATATATATATATATATATATATATATATATATATATATATATTATTTGTAGTCGCAGCAATTGGTCTGTGTGAAATAAAATTCTATTTGTTATTTCTCAATATTTCGTCACGATTTTGTGACTTCTTCAGGAGAAAACTGTAAATTTATTATAATTATTATATGTAAACAAAATGAATATTTCAATACTTACAACTTAAGATTAAAAATTTTAAATTTTGATAACATATCCAATTAGATAAATGACATTTTTTTGATTTAATTTATTTGGGAGTTATGGTAACCGCAATATTTTATAGAGTGAATTCCCATTGTACAATTTTTAGCGAATAAGTTTTAATAAACAATTACATATTGTGACAGTATTATCCATATAATAAGGTGCAAAAGTAGAATATTGAGAAAGAATCAGGAACATGGTAAATTGATCTATAAAATGTAATTGATGGTACGTAGTCAGTTATTGGTCTGATGTTGTTAGATACTGATATGAAGATCTATCATATTATATATTGTTTAGTATATTACAGTAGATATTACTTAAATGGTTGGTGTCTGTCTTATAATTGATAGATTCTGGAGTTTTATTAATGTGTACCATTTCAAGGAAAAGTCGATTTTTATAATTATCAATTTGTTCTAATATTTTTACATTATTAAAGTCAAAGTTATGTCCTGTCTTTAAGTGGTGGTCTACTAAGGCACAAGAGTTTTTTCGTAAGTTACAGTCACTTTTGTGTTGAGTGACACGTTGTTTAAGCCACTGTTGACTTTGTCCAATATAACAACTTTGACATTGACTGCAATTTATTCTATAAATTATATTACTCATTAGTGAATTTGGAGTTTTAACTTTTATTTTTGAGAACAACCTTGAATTTAGAAGTGGATTGTATTTAATTAATTTAATGTTCGGAAATGTTTTGAAAAGTGGGACAATTTGGTCTGTTAAATTTTTTATGTAAGGTATTTTTTTGTATAAAACTGGTTGTGGATTATTTATTAAAGCTCTATTGTGAAAGTGAGTGTTATAAATAAGTTTTTTTAATATATGTTTTGGGTAGCCATTGTTTAAAAACATTTCAAAAAGTTTCTTTAAATTGACATCTAGGAAACTCCGATCACAGATTGCCGTTACACGATTTTTCATAGATATAATTGTGTTGAATTTTTGATTTCTAGGATGATTAGAATAATAATTTATAAATCTGCCGGATGCAGTATCTTTTTGATACCAATCTAATATTATTCTATACCATTCAACCATATTCAGACAATACAAACGATCTTTAATTCACTTGATCAAAATATTCAATTCACTGTCGAGTATGAAAATGAAAATAGTATACCTTTTTTAGATACCAAAGTTATAAGAACTAATGATAACAGAATAATATTAGATTGGTATCAAAAAGATACTGCATCCGGCAGATTTATAAATTATTATTCTAATCATCCTAGAAATCAAAAATTCAACACAATTATATCTATAAAAAATCGTGTAACGGCAATCTGTGATCGGAGTTTCCTAGATATCAATTTAAAGAAACTTTTTGAAATGTTTTTAAACAATGGCTACCCAAAACATATATTAAAAAAAACTTATTTATAACACTCACTTTCACAATAGAGCTTTAATAAATAATCCACAACCAGTTTTATACAAAAAAATACCTTACATAAAAAATTTAACAGACCAAATTGTCCCACTTTTCAAAACATTTCCGAACATTAAATTAATTAAATACAATCCACTTCTAAATTCAAGGTTGTTCTCAAAAATAAAAGTTAAAACTCCAAATTCACTAATGAGTAATATAATTTATAGAATAAATTGCAGTCAATGTCAAAGTTGTTATATTGGACAAAGTCAACAGTGGTTTAAACAACGTGTCACTCAACACAAAAGTGACTGTAACTTACGAAAAAACTCTTGTGCCTTAGTGGGACCACCACTTAAAGACAGGACATAACTTTGACTTTAATAATGTAAAAATATTAGAACAAATTGATAATTATAAAAATCGACTTTTCCTTGAAATGGTACACATTAATAAAACTCCAGAATCTATCAATTATAAGACAGACACCAACCATTTAAGTAATATCTACTGTAATATACTAAACAATATATAATATGATAGATCTTCATATCAGTATCTAACAACATCAGACCAATAACTGACTACGTACCATCAATTACATTTTGTAGATCAATTTACCATGTTCCTGATTCTTTCTCAATATTCTACTTTTGCACCTTATTATATGGATAATACTGTCACAATATGTAATTGTTTATTAAAACTTATTCGCTAAAAATTGTACAATGGGAATTCACTCTATAAAATATTGCGGTTACCATAACTCCCAAATAAATTAAATCAAAAAAAATGTCATTTATCTAATTGGATATGTTATCAAAATTTAAAATTTTTAATCTTAAGTTGTAAGTATTGAAATATTCATTTTGTTTACATATAATAATTATAATAAATTTACAGTTTTCTCCTGAAGAAGTCACAAAATCGTGACGAAATATTGAGAAATAACAAATAGAGTTTTATTTCACACAGACCAATTGCTGAGACTACAAATAATATTTAACACAGTACGGTCGAGAATAATTTGATAAATATATATATATATATATATATATATATATATATATATATATATATATATATTGACATCACACATTTAAAATATATTAACATTACAAATTAAATATGCTGATCAAGGAGAAGGATAGGCAAGGCACTCGGACACGGTATAGGGCTCAATGTCAACTAGGTGTTTTCCTTCCCTAGAAAAACCTTTCTTCTAATGCCAAAGTAAATAACTTGGGTGAGATGGTGTCGCCCTGTCTCACACCTTTGCCAAGGTCTATTTTCATAGTTTCCAGATCATCGTCTATTCTTACGTGAAAAGTAGCATCATCGTATATATTCTTAAGGAGGGCAGCATATCTTGAATCTACTCTGACGTCGTCCAATGCTGTTAAGAAAGCCCATTTCTCGATACTGTCGAATGCTTTGTGATAATCGACAAATGCCCGATGTAGTGGTATGTTGTACTCTATTGTTTTTTCAATAACTGTCCGGATTGTTTGCAAGTGACCGATAGTGCTAAAACCCATACGAAAGCCTGCGTGCTCCACTGATTGGTATGCATCTAGTTTAGCTATCAATCTATTTGTTATTATTCGGGTTAGTAGTTTGTAAAGGTGTGACAATAAGCTTATTGGTCGGTAGTTTTCTATATTTGCGGCGTCCCCTTTTTTATGGAGAAGAAGCATAATGTTGTTTTGTTGTCCGCTTTTATGTAATATTACTTTTATTTTCTGCTGGTACTCATTCTTCTTTTTAGAATTTTTTAACATAATATGTGTTCCATTTTCTTTGTTTGGCGCCTTTCTCTTTTCTTACCATCGATATTCTTTGATTTATCTTCGATATAACCAAGAAATGGTCTGGTTGTCCACCGCTTAGATATTAATATGTAATCAATTTGATTAAATTTATTAGTACAACGTATCATCCAGGTTCCTTTATGAATATTTTTATGAGGTAAACACATACTAACAACTCTTAGTTTGTTTGCCATTGCCAACTGTTATACCGTTGTTGCTGGTAATATCATGTAAACTATGCTTACTAAAGGATTCTGCATATATTGGCTCTTTTACCAGCTTCGCGTTCACATCACCCAGGACTATAACTGCATCTCTCTTTTGTGCGTTTTCAAATTCTACTTGTAGTTGGTCATAGAATTGATCGGTATATAATAAATATATTTATTATTATTTGTAATATATTTATATGTTTTATGATTTATATTCAAGAAATATAAAAAAAAATTGTGCTTTGATGTAAAAAATATGGACACAAGCACTGAAAATTTAAAGAACTGACAGATTATACATTACATATAAAATAGCACAAAACAGAGCACAATAGTTTATTAAAGATACATATACCTTAAGAAGATTATTTTAAACTAAAATACCTGCAACATCATTTACCTTTATCATCTCAGCTTTTTCTTTGCCACCTGTAGCAAAAATACACACTCTAGCATTGTTGACCACTGGAAAAGTCATAGTTACTCTACTTGGAGGTGGTTTAGGTGAGTCTGTGATAGGAGCAATCCACCTGTCTGTCACTTTTAATAGGGGGTGACCTGGAAATAGAGAGCAGGTGTGGCCGTCTGGACCCATACCCAACAACAACATGTCAAATTGCGGTAGTTCTTGAGATGGAAAGAATTTTTTTAATTGATTTTCATAATCAATAGCTGCTTCTTCGGCTAAAACAATAAATAGAAAACTGAAATTAAACCTACAACAGTAAATTAATTAACGTAACAATACAATACTGAAAACTTTGTTTTCAAAACTTCCACAAAATTTTTTTATTATACAATATTATCACTACAGCTGTTTCAGCCGATTGCCTTTCTCAAGTTTTTGGCATACATTTACATTTTATAGTCTTTAATGAAATAGGTTGAGGAGGGGAGAACTGTTTGTCTTAAGTTGGTCATTCAGAATTTTATCTTTTTTTTTTTAATTTGATAATTTCCATAGATTCTAACAAAGATAGCTTAAGGTCTTTATTTTGAATGTGAAGAATTTTAAATTCGTCATTAAAAGAATGATTATGATCTAGAAGGTGAAGTGTGTATGTAGAATCTGTTTTTCTATTATTGAAAACCCTTTTATGGTCTGCTATTTGTTTATTAAAATTTTTACCTGTTTGACTGATGTAAGTTTTTGGGCAGTCGCCACATTTAAGTTTGTAAACACAACTGTGTAAGTGTTTTTTATTTTGGCTCTTCTTGTTTTTAATAAATTTGCCTAAGTTGTTATTTGTTCTGAAAGCTGGTGTTATTCCTTTCTTTTTTATGTGTTTGGCTATTTTTGTTGATATTTTGCCTGTTCTCCCCTCGTCAACCTATTTCATTAAAGACTTTAAAATGTAAACGCATGCCAAAAATAGATCACTTGAAAAAGGCAATCAGCCGAAACAGCTGTAGTGATAATATGGGGCGTCTCATAGCAAAACTCGCCTTATCCAAATTTTACGAAAAATGAGGTTAATATGGTAACGTATTCTTAAGGTTGATATGCTCCTCTTACAGTAATATTTTCGTAACAAATGTTGCGTTATCCCATTAATATTCATCGACAAAATATTGCTGTCAGCGCAAAACTCGCCTTATCCACTGCATCTTATGTGTCAAAACTCGCCTGATCCACACAGCCTATAAGAATGCTGGAAACATGAAGCACGTGATCCAAACTGACAATTTTATTTTTATTCGGTTGTTGAGGCAGTATATTAGCAAACGTTTGTCTGTGCAGTATACTAATATGTTCATTGTTTTTTGTTTTATTTGATAAATTTATTCAAGTTCTACTTTTTGAAATCCTACGAAATTCATTGGTCTAAACATGGAGCAAAAAATAAAGTCGGCAGAGAGAGGTAGAAGTAGAAAAGTTGTTGGACAAATCAAAGTGGAGACGAGAAATATTAAAACGTGAGCGGTATGTTGTAGCATTGTCTAAAATTGACAAATTATTAATAAAGTATTGTTTTTTATTTTTTTGTAGGCATTCTGCGACAAGCTTGCCAGTATATCCTAAGTGCAATCATAATGGAAAACATATAAATGTATGAAATTAAGTAATCGGGACATTTACAATTTTCATCGTAACTTTTATCAAGAGAAAGCCAAGGTTGAGCAAGATGCATACATATTAAAATTTTGTAGATGTTCACAACCAAAGCGAGATTTGTTTGTTTAACGGGATGAACCCTTTTTCCTTACAAAAATTACAATATACACATATAATTAACATATAAACTGTAGTCATATATTACAATTTTAAAAAGTATTAATAACATTAATGTCTCAACTTCTTTAAACTATTCTTGAACGAGGACACGGATAAATTAAACAATTCAACACTATCTTGCAAATTATTGGCAGTTCTCAACATCCTTGTGATTGACTCACTTTCTTTTACTATAATTAGTGTGATGAAACTTTAGTCTAAACAGGTCAGGAGAGCGTGTTCTTCTAGAATTTATATTAAAAAAAAGTTAAATTAAGTTGACAAAGAATATAGTTATAATCACAGTTAGTTATATTAAAACCCATTTTATACCTGCAAATTCTTAGGATTTTATTTTGAACTCGTTCCAACTGATCAATATACATATTATAATCTGGATACCAAATAATATTTCAATATTCCAAAATGGACCGAACTAGAGAACAATACAAAATTTTGAAAGTAAATATTGAAAATTCTCGGGAGTTCCTTTGAACAAAGCCGAGCATTCTATAAGCCCGCGATGTAATATTATTAATATGACTATCAAACATTAGTCTTTGGTCAAATGTAATTCCAAGGTCTCTAATTTGATTTACTTCTGTAATCGATACTCCCTTAAGTATGTATGTTCTATATAACTGATGTTTAGTATTTCTGGAAAACGTAATTTTATAGCACTTTTTTATATTTAAATATAAGGCATTAATGTCACACCGACGAGATAAATTATTTAAGTCAGACTGAAGAGCATCCATATCAGAGGTATTTTTAATTGCTTTAAAGATCTTTATGTCATCAGCAAACAATAGAAATTCACTATTATTAATTACTGATGATATATCATTCACAAACAGATTAAATAGAAGTGGGCATAAGTGAGAACCTTGAGGTACACCCGAAGTAACATTAATCGCTTCAGAAACAAAATTACCATATTTTACTATGTGAACGATCTGTTAAATAACTCGTGATCCAACCCAATAAATTATCTCCAATTCCGTATCCACGAAGTTTAGCAATTAATATTTCGTGATTTACCCTGTCAAGTGCTTTGGCAAAATCAGCATATATGGAGTCAACTTGGTTTCCCGATTCAATAGAATCCACAATGAAGTTTGAATACAAAATAAGATTTGTACAAGTAGATTTCTTTTGATAGAAACCATGTTGTTGACCGAGAATTAAATTTTTACAATCGTAGGTTAACATATGGTTAACAAAAAAATCAAGCAACTTTGGTAGTTCAGACTGCAAACAAACAGCCCTGTAATTTTCAACATTATTATTTTGACAAGATTTAAAAATGGGTTTTAAAAAACTCACTTTCCAAAAATCAGGAAATGTAGAAGAAGTTAAGGACTTATTGAATAATAACTGAATAGGTTTAGCAAGAGTGAATACAAATTTTTTAATAAAATACATTGGTATACCATCTGGCCCCGCTGTCAGTTTCCACGGATTATTCTGTATCTTATCAATAATATCCTTAACATTAATTAAATAATTATTAGCATTAACATAATTTTCGTACTTAAAATTAGGAATCTGATTTATTTTTTCTTTATTATAGATAGTCGAAAAGAACCCAGCAAATAAATTCACAATATCTGAACCATTTTCACTACTTTCATTACCATAACTCATACTCGATGGTAGAATATGAGATTTGCGTTTATTATTAATATATTTCCAGAAAGAACAAGAATTATGAAAAATGCTAGCCTCAATTTCATTCACATGACGCCTTTGTAAATACTTGCTAAGCTCTTTACATTGTTCCCTGAGATCGGAAAAAAGACAATAGTTCTCATCACCACCAGTCATTTTAAATTTTTTATGTGCTTTTTTCTTCTCATAGAGTAAATGTTTTAACTCTGATGTAAACCATTTGGGATATGTAATGTTTTAAATTTTTTTAATGGTATAAACAATTCGATTAAATAAAATAAAATATCATAAAAATCTTTAACTACGTCATTAATGCTTTTGTTAAGAAATAATAAATTCCAGTCAACTTCTGCTAAATAATAATTTAAAGCAACATAATTACCATTTTTAAAGTCAAAATAGTATTCTTCATAATTAAGGACAGATTCTTTTATATCAACAATTACGTAAGAATTGACTGGTGTATGATGAAATCCCTCCTCAAATAACGGATCCAGAGGTACAGAAACAGATATATCAGGAAAGCTAGAAAAAATTAAATCAAGAAAAATATTTCTCCGGTTGGATATCGTATTGACCTGGTATAAGTCACAAATATTAATGATACATGCCTATATATACATGTCTATATATACATGCCTATCAGATGCAGGATGTAAATAAACACCACCAAATACGACAGTTTGACTTTGACACTTAAGTGAAACAAACATTTGCTCAACACTATTTTGAGGAACAAAAACCTCACACACTTCCAAATGTTTGGCCACAGCTACTAATACTCCCCCACCACGTTGTTTGACACTAGTATTATAATTTCTATCACTTCTAAAAATGTTGAAGTCTTCTAACCCCAATTCTGCATCATGGAATTCAAAATTTAACCAAGTTTCGACTAAAACAATCACATTGTAATCGGCGCATGACACTGTCTGGCGTAAATCCTTAAGCTTTGTTCTTAAACCACCCACATTTTGAAAATAAACATTTAGTACAGTTCTACCATTATGATCATTAACGCTACTTTTTGATAGATAGACAGAAAAAAGAAAATAGCAGTAGAAAAGGCGTATGTGTAAAATACTTTGTAAAAAAATCTGATTGCGAGAAGTTTGATATTCAGGTTTGCCAAAAAACATTTTTAAACATTTTTAATGTTTCTAAAGCTCGTGTCCAAAGAATTGCAAAGCAACATCTTGAAACCGGACTTATGCCCAGAGAAAAACGTGGTGGTGATCGCACAAGCAAAAAATATGAAGAAAAGCGAGTGGCCGTTAGAAAATTTCTGGAAAGTTTGAAAGGTGTTGAAAGCCATTACTGCCGTTTAAAGTCAAGTCGGCAATATTTGTCTTGTGATTTAAATATATCCAAACTTTGGAGGCTTAACAACAAAGATGCTACTATTGAGGCAAAAAAAACTTTTTTTCATCACATATTTTCAAGAGAATACAATATTGGATTTGGAAGTCCAGTAACAGATGCTTGTTCCAAATGCATTGAGATTTTTGAAAAAATTAAATTAGAAAAAGACGTCGATAAAAAATGTACTTTTGATAGAAAAAAGGGTACATAAGCTAAAAGCCAATGATTTTTTTTGACAAACTTAAGAAGTTAGATCCTAATTTAATAACCTATTCATTTGACCGTCAAAAGAATTTGGTCAATCCCAAGGTCCCTGACCAAATTGCCTATTACAGCAGACAGTTATATACCTACAACTTTACTGTGTTTCAAGGATCTTCCAGAGCAAAAATGTCTAAAGAAAACGTTCATATTTATACTTAGATGGAACATCAACATAAGAAAGGTTCGAATGAAATCTCTTCAGCAGTTTATCATACACTATCACAAGCTGATTTGTCATTTTATTTGGACATACGACTGTGTGCTGACGGATGCGGTGGACAAAATCGCAATTCAACAATGATATAGTATATTTGAAGAATAAGCTAGAGTAAATTCTCAGAATACTAATCTTCGAACCTCGAAACACATAGGCGTGCAGATCTTCTAACTAAAACGTAATCTTAAAAGAAAAGTTTGCGTTAAATTTATTTGAATATTTAGAACAAAGTACCTAATTAATCCAATGCAATACTGGTTTAAAATAAAACGATACACATAAAAAGAATAAAAATTGTATTATTTTTGAAACATACAGTTAATATATAATAATACAATACAATAAATTATACTGAAACGTAAAATACATACACAAAAACTGCAAGTTTTTATATATTCCTATTAATAAATAGTAATATTCTTAATACTAATAATATTGGAAATAAGAATGAAAATTATATTAGCAATAAAAAATAAACAATGAAGTTGTCGGCAATCAGTTCAAATGTAAAATAAACTTCTGAGCTACAGTTTAAAGTTAAGCTTCCTCATATTCTGTTTCAGACGAAGTGTTATCCGATCTGGGATGAATTATTATAGGTTCTATACTGCTATCTATTATATGATCAAGCTCCCACATATTTTTCTCAATATCCATAACGTGATTAATACATTTTTGCCAATGTTCAGTCGTTACTTCGGATATTGATTTATGAAAAAGAATAGTAACATCTGACAATTTAAAAAAATTATTATTTCGAGCAACGTTACTTTTAACTTCGGCCCATACTAATTCAATCAAATTTAGCTCGCAATGATACGGTGGTAGGCGAAGTATTTCAATTCCTCGTTTTTTGGCTATTTCCTCAATGACATATTTTTTATAATTTTGTTTATTAATTTAAGCAAGCTCTAATAATTCTGCTTTTGTCATTGTATCGTCAAAGATTAAATTCTTAGAAGTTAACCACATTGCAATTTTATCGTTCCTCCATTGAGTAGTTGGTAAACGTTCAACTAATCTAGAGTGGTAACTTGCATTGTCCATCACAATCACTGAATTTTTAGGTATGAATTCAATCATCTGTTTATCATGTGTTTATAGCTTTGTCTTTCCAAACTCTCCCTACAGTATGCCCTTCATTAACCCACGTTTCATCTAAATAATAAATGTTCTTATTTTCTGTCCTCATTTTTTTATTTTTCTGAGGTAGTCTCGTCTCCGACACACAATTTCTTCGGAATCGATAAGCGTTGACTGTCTGCCCACTTTTTCATACTTAAAGTTTAACTCATGCAAAACTTTCCAAAGTTTGTCTCTACTTATTGTGGGTAAATCGGAATCGTCGGTAATGCCTTGTAAAACTTTATCTAAAGTTGGTATTTGTTAAAAAAAAAAATGAGTGGACCATTTTACGAATTGCATTTTTGAAAAATTCATCCACATTTACTTTCGACATTTTTGGTCATCCTGGTCTCGGTTTGGGTGGCGTTATACCAGCTAATTTTACCTCTTTTAAAATGTTATATACAGTTGATTTTGAATATCCCATTACTTTAGACGAAATTTCAACTATACTGTCAACAATGTTGGAAGGATTGTGTTGCTTAAAATAATTGTAGACGTTAAGGATAACACTCTTTTTGTTAAGTGATAAATGATCCAACTTTAATTTTTTAACTGGTGTATAATCACACGTTAATTTCATATTCTATAAACTCAGTATTCACTCTTGCAAAAAACAACTGTGTCAGATCTCTTCACTCGCTTATAATCGACTAAACAAAAATTCTCTGATATTAATGAATGACTATTTAAAGACCATTAACCATTTTATTAATCATTGGTTTTCCAAACAAAATAGAAATTTATACTATTTAAGATAGCGTTCACATTTATCAGAAACCATCTTTCGCTAATCGACTTTTTCTATCTAAACTATCAAAAGACCATTAACTAAATACCTATGTATTTTAAGAGTTTCTTTATTTCTTGTTATTCATTGGGTCATTACCATAACGACAAAAATAACCATAAATAACGTTACTAAAATAAACAGATTTATATAAATATAGTATGCTTTGAAAATGGTTTAAATATCTAACAAACCGAAACAAATAATGTAATACCCTTAAAGTACGTCTATGACCAGCTGAAAAACTCTAGCCTACACAGTTCTAACAATAGCAGGTATTTAAATTTTACGATAGTCCATGTGACCTGGAAAAATTTCTATCTAAATAGTCAAACCCAACGTAAAATAAGCTAAAATATTGACGTTGTGCGAAAAGCACACGTACTAAAATATGCTTAACAATTTAGTTTTTTTTCTGAGAATTTACTCCAGCTTATTCTTCAAATATACTATAGGTATGTTGTCTTACTTTTTTTCTAAGGTTGCACCACCTAACACTAAAACAATAGAAATTATTTTTCCTGTTCCTGGACGTTCATATTTACCACCTGATAGGGTGTTCGGACGAATTGAAAAAGAATAAAAAAAAAAATCAACCATCATTGATCCTAAAATATATTTGGACCTATTTAAGGAACACGGCACTGTAAGAAATTTAGGGCAAGATTGTCTGGTTATGGACTGAAAATCTGCTGTTGGTGATTTTCTAAAACCCGTAAAACAAAAAATCGCAGTGGAAATGTTATGGTTCGGGGCGAACCTTTCTATTGCTCGGACACTGGAATACCCAATTCAATTAAAAAAAAGGCAAAAAGTTGGAGCATCTTACTCCAGAAGTTATTCCAATGGGTGTACCAGTAAAACCTGCCAAGTTAGCGGATGTAAACAATTTATTGGAGAAGCATTTTGGAAGGGAATGGAAAACAAAGGGGAATCAAACAAAGGGGAAAGATGTTTTAGAGGGAATAGCACAACCATTGTTAGAACATAATTCTGAAGAAGTTCTTGACGAAGACCATTTTTGTGAGCCAATGAGAACAGGAGACGATAAAGACTTAAGAATTTAGTTTACAATATATTATATTTTGCTTGAAATAATGTATTTAAACAACAATAAAAAAACTTCCTCCATAAGCCCAGTGGGATTCTTATTTTTTTTTTGTAGCATAACTTGCCAAATCCAAATTGACGGATCAAAACTTGCCTTATCCATGTTTGTTTATTTTTTTACCAAAATGATGATATTGTACGTTTAAATAAATTAATGTTTAAGTTTTCTTACTTTTATTGTATATTAACACTTGGTGTACCTTTTCGCTCGTAAAAAAAATAACTTCGGTAAAGGTTTTTTCAATTTTACAAGAAACTTCATAACGTAGATAAGACAAGTTTTGATATGTGACGCCTCATATTGTATAATAAAAATTTTTGAGGAAGTTTTGAACACAAAGTTGTCAGTGTTTTATGGTTACATAAAATGAATTTCCATCAAGTAAAATCCATCAATTATAGTGAATTAATTACATCACCTATATATGATTGTAATTTACCAAATGAAAACATATGGTTCCATCAAGTCAGTTTATAATACACACAACTAGTAGTACCTGATACACCTTGTTTGATTTGAACAAACTGATCTGGCTTCAAGCCAAGTAGTCCCGAATCCACCAGAGCCCTCTTATACAGTCCATATGTGGAATCAGGATCATCTACAGGCACAACTCGTTCGTCACAGAAAAACAGTCGCCATTTTGAAAAATCTGACTTAATTTTAGGCAGACCAACTTCAAGGAAGACTGCCAATGATCCGCCTGAAAAGTAAATGAATGTGTTATATTCCTAAGGTTTATCTGCTGACCTACGGTTCATTAAAAAAAAACTAGAACCAAAATTTCCTATTTGTACCTTCATAATCAAAAAATGTAATAACTTATGAGCCAAACAAATACTTAATAATGTGTCTGTTAATGTTTTCTTAAGGTATTTCCATGTTATCTACTATATATACATGTACTTTGAGAATTAGACCATTAAAATTGTGATTGATTCCCATTAAATATAATAGATCAGACTGACTGTACCTTTGGGCACATAAAATGGGGGAGAATTTTCTTTAATTTCATGGTTTAAAATGTGCAAGTATATACATTTTTTTAGGCCATTCTATGTGACGAATGTGCTGTCTCTAAACTTTCATTTAAAACGTAAAATAAATAGAATCCAAGTATATGCACCCACTGCAGACAAGGATGAAGACACCATAGAGGCCTTCTATGAACAAATCGACAATGTCTTAAGACTAACTAAAAGACAAGATATAAATATTATAATGGGCGATTTGAACGCTAAAGTTGGCCAAGGAGAAGTGGAGAATTGCGTGGGGCGATATGGACTCGGGGAAAGGAATGAACGTGGCGATAGGCTTGTCGATTTCTGTGTCAATGAGGAACTCATAATTACAAATACCTCGTTCAAACTTCCTAAACGTAGACTATATACATGGAGGTCACCAGCTGACAATAACAACAAAATAGTCAGAAATCAAATAGATTATATTATCGTCAACAGAAGATATAGAAATTCTATAATATCATCTAAAACTTATCCAGGAGCGGACATATCCTCCGACCACAACCCGGTTGTTTTGTCGATGAGAGTGAAACTAAAGAAGGTCAACAGCCCTAGCACCAAGAAAATCATAGACACAAGACGTCTCAAACAAGATAACACATAATTATGTGGATACCAAATTTAAAATAAACGACAGCTTAAGGAAAGTCAAAGAAGATAATGCAGAAACTAACTATTGACCAAAAATGGGGAAAAATTCAACATGCCCTTGTGTCAGTTGGAAAAGAAACCCTCAAACCACTTAAAGAAAAAACAAAACCTTGAATGACAGTAGAAATTCTTGAACTCATGGAAGAACGAAGAAAACATAAAGCAAAAGAATTGAATAAATACAAAGAAATTCAGAGAAACATCAGAAAGAAAATTCGAGAGGCAAAAGAAAGGTAGCTCTCCGATAGATGCAAGGAAATAGAAGATATGGATAAAAAGTATGATAGCTTTAATTTACACGAAAAAATCAAAGAAATGACAGGTTCTAGAAAGCGTACAAAAACGAATATCCTTAAAAATGATAAAGGGGATATTATTACTGATATGAAGGAGAGATTATGTCACTGGACCAATTACATTCAACAACTATTTAATGATGAAAGAGAAGAACTGTCATTAGAAATCACAGAGGATACTGGACCACCAATATTAAGAGAAGAAGTCATCTATGCCATCAAAAACACAAAAGAGGGTAAAGCTACTGGACCAGATGAGGTGCCCATCGAATTATTAAAACTTATCGATGAAGATGTTATTGATGTAATGGTTGAACTCTTTAATCTAATATATCAGACTGCCACAATTTCCAGACAATGGCTGCAATCAACCCTTGTAGCAATTCCCAAAAAACCAAGTTCAACAACTTGCTCAGACCACAGAACAATAGCTTTAATGAGTCACACACTTAAAACATTTTTGAAAATCATTCACAGCAGAATTGTTAAAACTCTTGAATATGAGATTAGTGACACACAATTTGGCTTTAGAAATGGTATGAGTACAAGAGATGCTTTGTTCGGCTTGAATGTGCTGGCTCAGAGATGCATGGACATGAATCAGGATATGTACTTATGTTTTGTAGACTTTGAAAAGGCATTTGATAAAGTTCAACATAAAAAGCTTGTAGATATATTAAAAAGCAAAAATATTGACAGTCGTGATCTGAAAATTATATCTAATTTATATTGGAATCAAACTGCCAAGGTAAGAGTTGACAGCCAGTACACCGAAAATATCAAAATACAGAGAGGAATCCGCCAGGGTTGCGTGCTGTCCCCACTACTTTTCAATGTCTACAGTGAAGCGGTATTTCAAGAAGCGCTCTCAGACTCAATAGAAGGTATATCTATCAATGGAGAAGTTTTGAACAACTTACGTTTTGTAGACGATACAGTAATAATTACGGATAACAACAATGATTTACAGAACCTAATGCAACGCCTTAATGAACGCTGTCATGAGTACGGACTGAAGATAAATTTAAAGAAAACTAAATGCATGATCATGACTAAATCTGCACATGCAAATATCCAATTGACTATTGAAGATACTGCAATTGAGAATGTTAATAACTATAAATACTTAGGAACATGGATAACATCAGATGTAGACCAAACCAAAGAAATTAAGACACATATTGAAATAGCACGTACATAATTTATTAAACTTAAAAAGTTTCTTTGTTGTCGGGATATAAGGTTAGAACTACGCCTGAGAATGCTTCGATGTTACGTGTTCTCTACTCTTTTTTATGGTCTGGAAGCTTGGACACTAAAACAAGTTCATCTGAAAAGTTGGCCGCCTTTGAATTTTGGTGTTACAGAAGAATCCTACGAATATCATGGATTCAAAGAATGTCAAACATGGAAGTAACTAGAAGGATAGGAAATGAGGCGGAAATAATATTAACTATTAAAAGACGAAAACTTGAGTACTTGGGACATGTGATGAGAGGGCAAAAATATGCATTATTACAACTTATTATGCAGGGCAAAATCCGAGGAAAGCGAAATGTGGGAAGACGAAGAATATACTGGCTTAAGAACTTAAGGGAATGGTTTGAATGCAGTAGTGCAGAACTTTTTAGAGCGGCAGTCAACAGATTCCGCATAGCCATGATGATTTCCAACCTTCGATAGAAGATGGAACTTAAAGAAGAAGAAAGAATGTGACGAATAACATTTCTATGTCTCACCATGAAACTGACTCAATATTAATATTGTGAATTATCAATTATTTATTGTATTTCTAAAGAGAAAATGTACAAAAGAATCAAAGGTTGGTGTAAGGAACTTATTATACATACATTAAGATATTTTAACACACCAATCCAGATATTGTGAAATTCATTAAAGTGCAGATACTTAGATTGGCTGGAGACATTGCTAGGATGTCAGATCACAAATGCACGAACAGATTAACATTTTCAAAGCCAGAGGGCACAAGAATTAGATGACGACCACAAATGAGATGGATTGATGATGTGAAAGAAGACCTACAGATTCTAAGTGTTAAAAGATGAAGGAAAGTTGACAGGAATCGACAGGGGTGGCGACTTCTTTGTAAGCACTCCAAGATCCACAACAGATTGTTGAGCCACTTATAATAATAATACTTTATTTCCTTTTTGACAAATACAATTTGTATAGGATCAGTCACAGTTTAGAAAACAAAATTAGTAAATATAAATGTAAATCTAAAATTAGGCTAAACCTAAGAATACAAGACAAACACAAATAGAAAATGTAAAATTACTAGCATATACTTAGAATAATGTCAACTACTAAAATATTCATCAACAGAATTTAATGTATTCTGCAATAAAAAATCTTTTAAAGTTAATTTAAATATTTTCATATTTTTACATTTTTTTATTGGCTCAGGTATATATATATATATATATATATATATATATATATATATATATATATTATATATATATATATATATTATATATATATAAGGTTCTTGAACTCCTAAGTGGAGCATAGAGCTTCAGTGAAAACTCGCCATCGGGTTCTATTTTGCGCTAAGGCCTTCACCTCATTCCAAGACTTTCCTTGTTTTCTTATCTCGTCCATGATGGATCTTCTCCAAGTTTGTACTGGGCGACCTTTTTTTCGTTTTCCTTGGGGATTCCACTCTAGGGCAGTCTTTGCAATACTGGAGTTATTTTTTCGGAGTGTGTGACCGATCCAACCCCACTTTCTGGACTTTATTTCATTTACTACCCTCTTTTGTTTGGTCAGGTGTAGTAAGTCTTCGTTTCTGATGATGTTAGGCCAGAAAATACGAACAATTCTTCGTAGACATTTATTAACAAAGACCTGCAGTTTGTCTGTAAGGGTTTTTGTCGCTTTCCAGGTTTCACATCCGTAAAGTAGTACAGACATGACATTTGACTGGAATATGCGGATCTTTGTCCTCGTAGTGTATTCTCCAGACCTCCAAACAGGGTTGAGCATGCTGAAAGCTTGTTGCGCTTTTCGTATCCTCATACGAATATCGTCTTCTGTACCTCCGCTTTCTGTTATGACACTTCCAAGATACGTAAAGTTTTCCACATTTTCAATCTGCATGTTATTAATGGTGAATAGCGTGTTGTTTCTTGCATTTATTTTCATGGATTTGGTTTTACCAATATTGATTTTCAAACCTATTTTATTGGCTTCAGTGGAAAGTGTTTCCAATTGGTCCGCCACATCTTGGAACCTTTGTCCTAACAGGCAGATATCGTCGGCGTATTCTAGATCGCTTAGGCGTGTGGTTAACGTCCATTGTATCCCTCTTGTGTCAGAGTCTAGTTTGGAGAGAACATAGTCTAGAGATTGGCTCAGGTAACTTACTATTATATTCTTTGACCTATTATTGCAGGTGAGAAAAATGCATATTTCCTTTAGAAAAAGGCACATGTAATTTTTGATTCTGCCTTGTATTTATATTGTGTATTCGACTAAGTACTAGTTTTAAATTTCTCAAGATTTGAATGAATAAAAACACAACTTCAAAAATATATAAGCACGGCACTGTTAAAAGTTTATATCTAGTAAAATAACTCTTACAGCTAGTTATTCGAGAAATACCAGCAATACAACAGACTATTCTTTTTTGAGATAGAAAGACTTCACTGAATTTACAAGACTTACCCCAAAATACTATGCCATACTGCAGGCGAGACTCCACCTCAGCATAATTAGCTGTTTTCACTTAGTATATCTTTGAGGTTTTGAAGTAGGTAGCATGCTGAGTTTATTTCTGTCTGTTTTGAAGGAACTAAATTTATCTTCTGCCAAAATGGCATATTTCTCATTGTTCAAGTCCCATCTTCGATATGGGCTTCCATTTTGGGGTTCTAGTACAGCGGCCCAATTTGATACTATTTTTAAGTTGCAAAAAAGAGCAATCCGTTATCTATTTGGTCTCAAACAAACAACTCATTGCAAGACCTACTTCAAAAATCACGGAATTTTGACGCTTCCCTCTTTATTTATTTTGGAAACGGTTTGTTTGATTCGAAAGCATCTAAACATTTTTCCCGATAGACCTGACTATGGCTACTCCATTAGAAATTCGGATTGTAACGTTTATTTGCTGATCCTGTCCACTCAGCTAGTAAAGAATTCTATTCTATAAGTTTCGTACGGTGACAAAAATCTATCTCTCAGAAAGACCATATTATTCAGTTGACGAGTTTCTTAATGTATAACAAAGAAACAAAATTAGTATTGTTTATAATTACATTTGGGTGTCTCAAGCTGTGGCTACAATTTGTCTCATTTGTTGTTGTCTGTACAAATTATGTAGTTTATACAATAATTTTACTAATTTAAAATTGTGTTATTCTGTTTTTTACTATATTTGTTTTTGTTTTATACTTTTTGTACTATTTGACTGATTTATTTTTTAGCTTTGTCCATAAAATTGTTCAATAATTTTCAGTGACAATAAAGCATATTTCTATTCTATTTTATTTTGGAAATAATATCATCACATTGCCTTTGTCAATTGATACATTCATCAACAGACAAACTCAAAAACTTTAGGAACTGAACTTTTTCAATTTGATTAGAATATATTGATAGTTTGATATCTAACAGACGTTTTTGTCTATTGTGGAAATGAATAGCATACATTTTATCAGCATTAAGATGTAAGTAATTTGAGGAAAACCAATAACTAAGATCACACAAGATTTCGTTACATTTATTTTCAAGAGATATATGTGATTTATCTGATATAAGTATTGAAGTATCATCTGCATAAAGTGTAAACTGTACAGCAGAATTTATTGAGACAATATCCTTTAAGTAAATAAGAAATAATATTGGGCCAATTACAGAACCTTGCGAACACCTATGAATGTAAATGTAATCTGATTTGCAAATATTTTCTGACTGTTGGGATACATCTGTTAAGGAGACATACTGACGACATTCTGATAGGTAGGATTCTATCCATTTTAGAGAGAGATCTTTTATTCCAATATTTTCTTATTTATTAATGAGTAAGGTATGAATCGACACAGTCAAATGCCCTATTGAGATCACAAAAAATTCCAACAGGGCATTCATCCGCATCAAGTTAGTTAAAGTCTCATAAAATGAATGAACTGCTGTATTTGTAGACTTACCTGCCTGAAAGCCATGCTGATATTTACTAACAATAACATTCTCCAATAAATAAGAGTTTAATACTTTGAGATAAAAGTATTTGATTATTTTCAAAAACATTGAAGGGACAGTTATTGGGTGATAATTACTAATATCCTTTGGATTACCTTTCTTATGTACAGGAACAACTTTTCTCACATTTTGATAATCCGAGAAAATGATGAAGAAGAAAAACTTATGATGAAGATGATGATATTTTAACAAAAAGCATGCTAATTAGAAACATGACATTGGTTTCGGGCATTTCGCAATTGCGGGCACTCTAACCTAACCAAGCATTTATATGACATTTAACGTTCGCTTAAATGGTGTCAGAGTTGCCAAGTCTTCAGTTTTTTCATACTCTCACATAATATTATACAAATGTTGATTAAAGTGATATATAAAAAATTAATAGTATAGATTTTAGTTAAATTAAAGATAATAATCAAATGCATATAAAATAAAATTGATTAAAATTATATAAAAAATTAATAGTAATAATTAAATTACCGTATATAATAGAAATGCATTGAAATTATATAAAAATTCAAAGATTTTACAAAATATTTGTTTTATAAGAAACAAACTTTTTTTATAAGAAATTAGTTTTATAAACAAAGAAAATATTTGTTTTATACTTATTTAAATCTTGTAGCTTCTCATAATACAGTGCCTTGAGGAAAATATATTTGGTTAGGTTAGAGTGCCCGCAATTGAGAAATGCCCGTTCACATATGTTTTACATATATTTCAGTTTTTTTTTTTCAACTTTTGGGTTCTGTTCTATAAATCTCTACAGTTATAATGGTATAAACTGTATTATCCCGGAAATGCTGTGCTAACATGACATGCAATGGATTTATGAGCAAATGACCAATATACATAAATTATTATGCCTACATAAAAAAGTACCAACCAAGCCGGCAAAACCTCTCCTCTAGCTGTGGCACTTTCCCAGATCCTTTTTATAGCATAACATAATTGTACACAATTTGATGAACACACTAATGATTTAACCAAGCATATTCTTATTTAACAAAAGATTCTATAGCAAACTAGGGTCACTTCAAGGAGCTATAGCAAATCACACAAGTACTCACCAGAAACACCTACTAAAAACACATCCCGTTTGTCGATACTTTCTTTTGCTGAACGTTCTATTAGTTCACAAAGTTTTTCTATAACTTTATCTTTATTTTCTACTACTATCACAGTCATTTTTATTGTAAACGGAATGGAATGGAAGTTGAAAGTGTTTCATTCAACCACTTGTTGATAACCTATATCATAGATAAAATTTATAGATTGGTAACAGGGATAGGCAATGTCAAATCACGTTCGGATTTAGGCGCCCATTCGTTTGGTGGCGCTGCTAGTCTCGTTTCTACGCGTAGGGAGTGTGCTGTGGTCAAATCAAAAGTTGAATTTAGACAAATACGGCGCCATATTTTTATTTGTTTTATTTTTTATAATTTATTTTATAGTTTAAATTTTTTTATATAAGTAGTGCAAAAAGGTAAAATTTTAGACGATTTTTTATTATGGAATCGAACAAATTACATGGAATAACAATATAGTGACGAAGAACTGAACAAAAAAGATGTATTCCAGATTGCATGGATACTAGTCAAGCACACTACCGCTGGCTGGCAAGCAATACCGTTTTTCAAGTCAAGGAGATTATAATATGGATATGTTTGATAAATGGGTGAATGCTGCTAAAAGCCCTAATTAGAGAATGCTGCAACAGAAACTATTTATAACAATTTTCGTGTATGCGCTAGTCATTTTAAAGAGGATGATATAATTAATGTTGGACATACCGGTATTACGAGAACAGCCCTTCTGAGTTTGTTTTTACCAGCACCAGGTAAGAACTATTATGCCAATATATGTATGTATGTGACCTTTTACTTATAAAATTAGTTAATTATAAATTTAACCTAATTATAAAATCAGACTTACTTGCTTACTATTTGAATTATTTTGTAGGTGGTGGTTCAACAACTATCTTAAAAAATCATCACCTTAGAGAGGGTTCGACATAATTTCTACAGGTGTGCCTGTTTCAAAGTTGGATTAGATTAGCAGACCATGACTACACTATCATATGGAGAGGTCCATGAGCTTGCCGTTAAGTGCGAGGAGGGATCTGTCTCTCTCTTGTGAGTGAGATTGGTCTTAGAGTACCATATATTATCATGGTTTGTCTCATCTATGTACTTTTAATCAAAAGAACAACCTAAATCTAAATGTATTTAATATGTCTCTCAATAAATATATAAATATTAGTAGAAAAGAGTTACTGGTAAGATAGAGTTTGGAAACGTAACTTTGTAAAATACTTCATATTATTATTGTAACTAGGTAATACTTTACATATTTTTTTATTTTTAATGTTATTTTTCCATCTTTATAGTGCTGGATCTTAGAATCTTAGAGCTAACTGTTGGGTTTATAGGTTTAAATATGACTAAAATATTATCATATAAATGTATATAAAGTTCTTTCTAGAACTAAATCATTTAATTTTTCTGTTTCCAACTTAGCAGAGTTCTTGAGTTCTGTTTTTCTGTGAGTAGAACGCCAGACAGTAAGAGTTCTCACTGACCACTGGTAGTGTGTGTTATTAGATTAGGATGTAAGTACTACAAAGAACTCAGAATGTCTGACAGCTGTCTGTTGCTTATTAGGCTTTAATTTGACATTAGAATTCCAAAAAAATTATTTAATTACTGACAAGTTCTTGTCACAAGATTTAGAACACTAAATTATACTACATTTACCCTTCCCTATTTGTGAACAAAATATTGCAACTATCTTGGTTTATTTTTAGCTCCAGCTGATTTACAGCTAGATTGAAAATCTGAATTTTCCAATCTTGGTTCATAATTATCATCAGGTTTTTGAACAGGTAAATTTTCTGTCACATCTGGCATTGATTTAGTAGTGGAATTCTCTAATGTGTTATTTGGACTTCATCTTCATCATTATCGTGATTCAATAATATAACAATTCAATAGTAAACTTCTTATATAGTACAGAGCTCCTGGTAAAGCAGTTTTTCATTTAGTGATGTCTAAATATTTGGTTTTCAATGCTAGATTCACCAATTTCTATATAACTCATTGTATCTTTCAACTTAACCATTTCCTTCATGGTTATATGGTGTTGTTCTACTTGAAATATTCCTTTAGAGTGGAGATAATTAATAAATTCTTGTGAAGTAAAGCTAGTTCTCCTTGTCAGATTTTATATATGCCAGCATTCTATATAAACAAAATAGTGATTTAATCTGTGATTGGTTTGAATTGCTTTCCTACCAGATAATGTCTGCATTTTTTTAATACTTCAATGCATTTGCATGTTTTCATTCTGAATCTGTGAGAGTATGTGTGAAAAAAGCAATTGGTTTTCCCCATTGATTGCTTCGCTTATGTAATTATAGACTAAATTTATTACAAGCATGTACTTATTTTGTCTTCTAGGGATTTATCTTTAGATTCATTGCTTTCTAAAAATATCTTGAATGTTATATACCAATGTTTGAATTCTTTGCAAATTTTGAGAATAAAATTGTAGTAAAAGGCCTTTTGCAGAATTAGGCTTCTATTTACATAAAACTTGACATACTAAGACAAAACAATTATTTAAATACTGACCAGTTCTTGCCACAACATTAAGAAAACTAAATTATAGTACACTTGGCTTGTATTATTAATATTTCTTGTAACACATATAACATTTCTTGTAATATTTTTATAAATAAAGATTTTATTCTATATTTTATTCTTTAATTTTTTGACCACTTTGGCATTTTAATGTAATGTAAAATAAATATAGTCTCAACATAACAAGAAAACCCAAAAAGTATACGAAAAATATTTATTATCGTATAGGATAAGGATTTTTCTTGTTATTTTAAGATTATATCGATTTTCCTTTACTTTAAAATGAGTTCACAATCCTAGGTAATATTACAAAAATTTTGAATTTCGCGCCATGTATTTATAGTTAGGCGCCCGGTCACTAGGTGATGCGCCAATCATTGTTTTACTCGTCAACACGGAAGTTTCAATGCTAGGTGGTAGTGTGCTATAGGAGCGTCTAAAGTCACAGTCTTGCTCCCTGCTTTGCGCATGAGTGTTATCCAATGTTGCCGTTTCCGAGATAGTTTGTTATACGTCATTGGATTTTACCAATTTAGTTGTTGATTGATAGACGAATTTTTCGAATTGATAGAGTTTTCTAATATAATTGTGTTTTTGTTTGTTGTGTTTTTGCGTTATAATTTTAAACTTGGTGAATATGGCGATAACGTGTAAATATTGTCAAAAAGTATTTACTTTGCAAAGAAATTTAAACAGACATTTAAGAACACTACATTGTGATACAGAAAAAAACATTAATGCTTACGAATATGGTGTTCATATAAATAAATGTTCCGAGGGTTGCAATTTATCATTTATGAATATTACGCAATTAAGGGAACATTTAACTCAAGTTCATAATACTTCTTTTTCTGAAGAAATTTTACATTTCAATAATGTAGAGGGTACATTTATAAATTTATCAAAAATAAGCTACTTTGGTTTGCTAATGGTTTTCTTTCAGATTTTGAATTGTGGTTAAATGAAATAAGCAAAACAAAAAATCAGGAGTATGCTAAACGAACTACGGACAAAATAAGTGAGGAAATTGTTGTAACATATTATAACTGCAACAGAAGTGGTAAGATATTCTGGCTATAACGGATATGGTTTAGGTATTCTATAAATATATTTTTCTAGGTATTAATCAAGAAAAATTGTCCTCTAATAAACGAAAAAGAAAAATTAAGGTTCAAGGATCTTGCAAGCAAGGGATTGCTTGTACTAGTACAATTAAACTGAGAAAATATGTTAAAACAGGTCAGTGCGATGTCAAATATGTACCTGAACATTATGGTCATGTAACCGAACTCCAGCATTTAAGGATTTCACAATCCAATAAATTAGAAATTGCTGAAAAATTAGCTATGGCAGTTCCTGCATCAAAGTAAATATACTTATTTTCAAATAACCCATTTTTAGTTTTTATGTTTTTAATTAATTTTGAAGTGAATACTTCTTATGGCTCGGTATGATGTTTTGTACGGACCCGAAATCCTATTTAGCGTAAGTCGAAAAATTGAAACGCGTGTAGTAACCTTGCGGTATATCGTATAATATACATACATATACACCATGGACGTATAAACATAGATTATACACTTATTACAGGATTATTATGTTTATCTGAATTACCT